CTAGAAACTGATGCCTTTCTTGATGCCCCCTTAAAGCCTACCATTTTAGATCTGTCAAAAATTCTGAAACATCTCTTGAATTCATCCTTCCTCACCAACAATATTGCCTCAACCCTTTAGGAGGACATTCTTGTAGACAATCTCTTCAACTTCAACTTATTCCCGGCCTCTTTCTCCTGGCTCCTTAATGCACAGACCAAACTGGTTTTCTCTTAATTTTTTAAAACACACCAGTCTTGGGAATATTTGCAGTCGCTGTTCCTTTTAATCTAAGTTCTGCACAAAGTTTTTTTTTCTTCTTTTTTTTCCCTCTTGTTCATTCAATCTAAACAGGTTCTCATTTCCCCCAATATTCCCTATCACACAGCCTGCTGTTAATAGCCTTCATTACACCTTATCACAATCTGCGAACATTTTGTTGATTTGGTTAGTCTTTTATCATCTCTTTCTCACTAGAATCTAAGCTTTGTGATCACTGTAAGGCTCAACAGATTACAGGTGTAGAGAAAATACTGTGGGATAGAGATATGAATGATGGAAGGAATACACTAAGGAGGGGCCTTGGTCTGTCTCCCAGCTCCTCTGGATTGCACCATGCACAAATCTGATCACGTCACTGTCCTGCTTAAAGTCCTTTAATGGTTTTCTATTTTCTGTAATAGTCGTTCTAACACTTACAAAATATTTTCTTTTCTTTTCTTTTCTTTTTTTCTTTTTTTGAGATTTACAAAGGTAGCAAGAACAAGGGTTCAGAATCTTCTGTTTAAATTGGAAGTTCTGGAACAGACAGAAGAAGGAGCTCTTCCCAAAACTGCTCTCCCCTGCCTCAACCCACCTCCTCCACTGGGCCCCACCTCCGCTGTGGGTGTGGCCATCTTGTGGCAGCCATCTTGTGAGACATGAGGGCTAGATGCATGAGGGCATGACAACCACCCAGGCTATTATTAGTATAAATATCTACTGCCAAATGTCAGTTCTCTGTGTACCTGTAAGTCCCTTCTCCAAGTGAAGGGCTATACATGCGTTGTAGAAGAAGAGTGCATGAGCTTGGGGGAAGTAAATAGGATTAAAAAGAGAATTCTTGATTGCAACCTCACCTCAGTTCAGCAGCTCTCCTTGGATAACAGCTGGCTTGAGATTTTCCCTGATCATTGCCACTGGCCACCTTCTTCAATCTGTCATTGCAACCTAGTGGTGAGAAGACCTGGTGCTGTGCTGAGTGGGACCTATTACTAGTGTTTGGTGCCCGCGAGGCCTCATGTGCTTCAGAGAAGGAGATCACACAATGAGGAAAAAGCGTCCAGCTGTTGATCAGCTCTAACTGCAACATCATTGCTTTGTTGGTTTGTTACTTTTATTTTTTTAAGAGACAGTTCATAATTCAAGTCCTTTTCAAGAAACATAATCAAGTGTCCCGACCCACGGGGCAACAACGGGGGTACGCAGGAACCACCTAAGAGAATGAAACAAACAAGGAATGCGAAAGAATGGATGCAAGACAAGGTTCTGATCAAGCCTCAACTTTATTCTTTGAAATGGCTGTATTTATACAGCAGAAACAAAGGGGGGCAGGGTTGCCTATGCAGAGGGGTCTTTGGCAGTGTATAATTGGTTTAGGCACTGAGTGGCAAGGTGGTAAGGTATCTGGCAACACAGGATTGGCTAACTGCCAGGGCAGCGTAACATTCCAAGGTGTAACATTCCAAGGCTGGGCTATCTAGGGGGGAGGATCAGGAAGGGGAATTTGCAAAGATGCTAAGTGGCAGGTTAATCTTATCTTCTGGCCAAACCCTCAGGGCACCGCATAACTTCTGCTAGAAGGAACTTAATTCTATTTCCTTAAGATTGAGTTGCTTGTCTCAACTCTGATGGCTCCCAACATAGGACATTAAAATTCATAGAGTAGAATCCAGTAGAAGGAAGTCTAGCTGAATCATTATGGAGAGCTGTGAGTCTTACCTATAAAGCAGGTGTGAATAAGGACCTTTTAAAAGGCTGATGATCCACAGTACCCTCTTCAGGATGTAAAGCATTGTTATTAGTGCCTTAGCTAAGCTACAGAAATAGTCAAAAAATGATTGCCATCAGGCATTTAGAGACAGATGTCTCAAGAAAAACTCATTCTTGCCAAATCCTTTGCTTTGGAAATGGAAGGAAAGAATTTTTAAAAAATTACACTCATTTTTCTCTTTCTTATGATATCACTCTGGCACCTATTTTCATAAGAAAGCTAAGAACATAATCTGTTGTACTAATTGCTCCAAGGGTCTTAGAAAGATTATCTCCAAATCAATTAATTTTGTGATAAATAATGCTTGTTATAAATAATTCATTGAAGAGTAAAAATACATTCCTGTCTTAATAGTGCAAGTCATCAGAATGAACGATTGGTTGATTATATATTAAGAATTACCAACTTCATCCACTATATACCGAACAGCACCTGACAATTTAGTTAGAATCTTTATAAGTCAGAGCTATCTAATAATATTGGCCAGTGTTATTGGTCTCTGCATAACACATTTTCACTGGCTACTCCAAAGCTTGCTAAACTGTTGGATAAGAAATGGGAAAATATCACACCACAGGCAATATTTACCCATCCAACGGCAAAACAAGAAAATGGAACCCAGGCCTAGAATCTTCTCGTGTGACTCAATCAAGGCAAATTATTTATTGTCTTCTGCCCAGGAGGCCTCATGGGACATGAAATATTGATTTAGGAATTTGCTGGGCATGAATGTCTTTGTGTTGCAACTGTGTTCTTTTACATAACTTCTTAATATATGATAAAATGTTTCTATTCATGCTGTGATAAGGCTGAAGAAGAAATTAAATGTGGCTATTTAATAAACACGAAATGTAAACACTAAACTCTTTTATAATTACTAACTTGGGGGTCATTAAAAATTTCACTCCATGGCGTGCAGGATTGCACAATGCATTGTTTATATCCATGCCTGGCTTCATCTCTTCATTCATCTCAGAATCTCACAACCTCTGCTTGCATCTCACAACACCCAATTTCAGTCTTTCTGAGAATGGAATCTGCAGAGTCTGTGTATCCTTCACGGTTCACCCAGGGCTTCTCAAAGCCAGGACATTCTCTAAGTCAGGGCTACAGCTATCGGTGAGGGGCTGAGGCTGGGCCAAGAGGAAGTTTGTGGAATGAAGAAGAGCAGGAGCTATTCATGACCTGAGCAGAAGAGGAGGATTCCGGAGCAACTGAAAAGCCATGAAGCATGTAGAATGGCAACATACAAAAGTTATTTCATCAGCTAAAAATTTGCTCCATATAATTTTATATGTCCTAATAACATTTGATATTGAAAGTAAGGGGGCTATACATGAATGCACCGCATTAGCACTTATTTATTCCTTCATTTGCTCTACTCACTCGGTACTTCCTGTGTAAAATCAGCAGAGCAGTTCCTGAAGACTCTGCCTCAGGCCTGGGTTCTAATGCAGCCTCTGCTACTTTCTAAGAGTGTGATCTTAACCCCCCTTGGCCTCAGCTCCTCATGCTTAAAAGGAAGATAAAATTCTCTCTCTTGTAAGATCATTGTAGAGGAAAACTACAGACACATGATATATGATATATATATATATATATATATATATATATATACACACACACACACACATATGTATTTTATATTCCCTGAAAAACAGTGCCTGGCAGATACCTAAATCTAAATCTATAGTGTTCAATAGTTATCAAATTCACTGTTGTTTCACAGTTTCTACTTAACTTCTCTCATCTGTAGGCCTTGTCTCCCCTCCTATCTAGGAACTCCTTGACAGTTGGGAAGTGGTCATATTTCCTGGTGGCTACTTGTTTTCTGTCTTGCCATTTGTTGAGGGTTTCCTCTTTCCCCTTTTCTCAGGTCGATATGATTTAGTGACGGGTGAGCCTGGTCTGGCCCATCACTGTTGCCTTCATCTCGCCAGAGGAGGGTGTGGACTCTACCTTGGATATGTCCTCACCCAGAAAGGGTGAGTGACGCCTGGGATGGCTGGCTCTAAGGCTGGGCATCTTTGTCTCCTTTGGGAGACCCTGCCTGAGCATGGAAACCACACCAAGATGCTCAGAGCTAATAGGGGGAGAGAGGAGGCCCCTGAGGACGTCGGTTTTAGGTTTCAATCTTGCCTCAAAAGAGTGCTCCAGGAACTCCTGATTTTAGAAGGAAATACATTCTGTCCTTAGTTTATTTAAAGTAGTTAGCTTTGTATTTGCTAACAAATTATACTAATAATATTTTCTTAAAATCAACTTGATCTGCATGATCCTCTTTGAGGCCAATGACTGCCTATAAGGCCCTGCATATCTTTAAGACAACCAATATATATTTATTGCATGTATAAATGAGTTAAAAAATTAAAACTCTCAAAGCACATGAGCCCACTAACTTAATCTACACATTGTCATACTGTCCTTGGCAATTCAAGTTCAATGTAAGTGTCTTGACATAGAAACAAACCCTTTTATAGAGAAACACATGATGTAGCCCAAGGATCAGCGCTGGACGGACTGGTTTGTTGAGAGAACTGATTGGGGAGACCATAGACCAGCTTCGGGAGAAATGATTTCCTTTCAGCATAACTGACTCCATGGTCAGCTCAGTCCCTTAACCTCAATGAACTCCACTCTTCATTCACAGAATGGGAAAAGATTCACTTTACAGGGTTGATGTTAGGCTTAAAGGAGCTCATTTGACTTGGGAGTTACAAACGATGCACGCGGCATTTGCTGAATTCCCTACCCCCTTTCCCCATAAGCATATCTCAATTGGTGATGGATCCACACCTGCCAAATCATGAATCTAAACATTTTAAAACTGTTTTTCCCTCCAAATGCACAACAGGAGGCACATTTCGGAAGAATCTATGCAAGCATACACCATCATATGTGGGCCTGGGGTACAACTTTTGTGGGAACACTGTCTTCCTCTGTAAAAGGAATGGTTCCACTGCACGTTATCCCCCCAAGAACCCCTTACCTTTTGCCATCTCGGGGCTCCAGAGGGCAGATGCGATGCTGGCTGAAGACAAGCTCCAAGCAGGCCCAGGCTTCTGCTGCAGCCCAATACCTGCGAGAGGCCTGCCCTGGGGCGTGTGGTGGGCGTGGCACAAAGCACCTGCTCCCGCGCCCGCCTCGAATCTTGCTCCAATCCCCGCATTTAAGGGTGTACCAGCTCTGCAGACGCCCAGCGAGTCCCTCAAGTGTGCTTTATGGGATCCGGTTTCCATTCCCCAGTGGGTAGCTCCCGGGTCCCGTTACAGTTCCCCAGAGCTCCGTGTGCGCTGGGGGAACCGGGCCCAGGAGAGACCGAGTGAGGGGACCGGGCTCCAGTTACCTGCCAGTCGGCGCGTTCCCCGCCCCGCGCCGCCGGGGGAGCGGCGGAGCCGGCAGCGCCGCGGCCCCTTTAAGAGCCGGGCCCAGCCGCCCCGGGGCCGCGGGAGCCCAGCGCGCCGCCGCGGACTGAGTTGGGACCCGGCGCAAAAGTTTCCTCCCAACTCCGGCCCCGCCGCCGCCGCCCACTCCGCCCGGGCCTGGGCCGCCCCGCCGCCAGGGCCAGGCCGGGCCGGGCCGGGCCGGACGGCAGTTTCGCTTTGGCGCGCGGAGCAGCCGCCGCGGCCGGGCCCCAGCGGGAGCCGGACCGGGAGGAGGAGCCCCGCGCGCCCCGGCCCCGCCACCTGGGAGGCAGCCCTACCTTCCCGCCGCCTCTCCTGCCCCGATCCCCGATCCCTGCCCCCTCCGGAGCCCGCCCGCCCGCCCCGGGGCCGAGGGCACTGCTGCGAGCCCCGGGCCCTGCGGGGGCGCCGGGGAGGGACCCCGGGCCCGCGGGTGCCTGCCGCGCGCCCCCCGAGAGGGGCTGCCCCGCCGGGCCAGACACCTGTTCGCAGGCCCGGCGAGCCGCCCGCGGGGCCAGGATGAAAGTGACCGTGTGCTTCGGCAGGACCGGCATCGTGGTGCCCTGCAAGGAGGGCCAGCTGCGCGTGCGGGAGCTCACGCAGCAGGCGCTGCAGCGCTACCTGAAGACCCGGGAGAAGGTGAGGCTGCGCCGCCGGGGGCGCGGGGCGGGGCGGGGCGCGGCCGCCGCGGGGGCTCCCCGGAGCGCAGGGGGAGGCCCGGCGCCCCGAGGACCGCCGGCCGGCCGGCCACGCTCAGAGGCCTCGCAGCGCCCGGGCAATTTGATTTCTCACAACCTGTGGCCGCAACTTTTGGGTGTTGCTGATGGAAGCGACCTGGGTGACTCTGGGAGTGTGTGGGCCTTCCATCTCCATCTCCAAGGGGTGCGGTGGGAGGAACAGAACCGCAGTGTGGGGGTCTCTGGAGGGGGGCGGGGGGGTTGGTAATGCAGGATCTTGAGCCCTGATCCAAGCTCACTGCCCCGGACTCCGCTTTTAGTCAAGTTCGCAGGTGATTGATTGGCAGGACCCTAGTGTGAGAAGCGCTCTTTGTAAGTGGTTGGAGGGAAAGCTTTCCAGGGAAGCCTGGAAGGTGCTGCTGGCCTCAGGTGTAGTGTTGACCCCCCAAGGCCCACCCTGCTGGGCCTCCTTGGGGTGTGAAAGCTGCCTGGCGCAAGTGACATGCTGGGAAGTTGTAACTGACTTGGCCCTTGGAATTTCAACCTCTCCAGCCAGCTGTCCCCCTAGGAGACTGGGCAGGAACTTAGGTGGAAGGATGCTGTTTGCTTACACCGGTGGTCGGCAAACTCATTCGTCAACAGAGCCAAATATCAACAGGACAACGACTGAAATTTCTTTTGAGAGCCGAAAACCCACTTCTTCGCACGGGCCACGAAGGTTTTCAATCAAACTGTACGTGGCGAGTCCACACGTGGTATTTTGAGGAAGAGCCACACTCAAGGGGCCAGAGAGCCGCATGTGGCTCAGGAGCCTCGGTTTGCCGACCACTGGCTTACACCAATCAGCCTACGTGTCAAGTGTTTATCTTTTAATGCCACACATTTCACGAACATTTTCTGCGTGTGTGGTCTGTGTCACAGAGTGGACGACTATTGAAATGAGGTCCAAGACTGTCCCTAACTCTGTCCCAGAACTCAGAAACAAGTAAACATCAAGGGAAGCTCAGGCAGTGTTTCTAAGCATGTACACAAGACTTAGCTGGACGCTAGGACCCCTGTGAGGCGCTTGGGTAGCAGGCGTCTTCAAACTACGGCCCGCGGGCCACATGCGGCCCGCAGAGGAGTCTGATCCGGCCCGCCAGGTTTTTTGGGCAGTGAGCGCAGCCGAGGTGTTACAGTAGGAATTAGTAGTTCATATAGTCCGGCCCTCCAGCTCTCTGAGGGACCGTGATCTGGCCCCCACTTTAAAAAGTTTGAAGACGCCTGATAGGGCTACTTTCTGTGTCTTCATCAATGGAGAAGGCATGGCACCCTCCTGAAACAGGCTAAGTCATAAACTCTTGCTTTCGAGACCAATTGTTCTTTTATTGTTTGTTCTCACGCTGTGAGAACTGTGGAAGTGGTGTGTTGACCAATGTAATGATGGGAAGATGTGATTTCCTGAATGGCTTACAGGTTAGCCAAGGCATAAAAATGATTTTGTTCCTTCAAAGATACAGTTTGGGCAGTTAAGAAAAATCTCCGTACCTTCTGTGCCCCCGCTAAAAATTATTATTCAGGGAAAATAAATTCTACTCTGGATAAATACATGTTTACGTTGCCTTGGACAATGAAGGGCTTGAGAATTGTAGAGGGAGAGGGTCTGTAAATATATTAAATAAAATACCCAAAGCTGAACTCTTTACTAATAACATTGGGGTAGAGCAGGGAAAATAATCAAAGTGGCCTATAAAACTACGAGTATCCACTCTAATATCTCGTAATTACATTATTACAATAGCTTGTGCTGTTTACATTGTGTAATTCAGTTAAACTGAGATGTACACATGTAACCAATTGTCTTTGAAGTCATATTTCTCTTTATTATATATATTGATTTTTTTTTACAGAGAGGAAGAGAAAGAGATTGAGAGTTAGAAACATCGATGAGAGAGAAACGTCGATCAGCTGCTTCCTACACACCCCTTACTGGGGTTGTGCCCGCAACCAAGGTACATGCCCTTGTCTGGAATCGAACCTGGGACCCTTCAGTCCACAGGCTGACGCTCTAGTCTAGGGGTGTCGAACTCAATCAGAGAAGGGGCCAAAATCTAAAATCCAGCCTAAATCGCGGGCCAAATGGTTTACTGAACAGTCACAAACTGTCATTGTGATGGAAACGCAGCGGAGTGCAGTGATGACAGCGCGGTGCGGGCCACATTGCAAGGCCTGGCGGGACGGATTTGGCCCGCGGGCCTTGTGTTTGACACATGTGCTCTAGTCTATCCATTGAGCCAAACCGGTTTCAGCTGAAGTCATATTTCCCTAACTTCTGAAAGTAAGCTAAGGTTAATAGTAACAACATTATTCTAGGTTAATTATTAAAGTAGATCTTACTGAAGGATTGTCTTACTGAGATGATGAATTATTTTCATTTTTAAATCTATTAAAATTATTTATGCCCTAAAATTATATATATCTTTAGAAGTTTAGTACATGAAGCTGCCTAGGTAATAGAAGTAAGATACAAGCTTATAAATAGCATGTAGGAAACTAACTAGGTGATATTTAATGTATTATAATTTGATCTTAAAAGATGTTAAAAAGTTATTGATATTCTGGACTGAAACATAATTTATAATATCACAAAATCCATAATGTAATTGTATTGATCCAGTTTACTTTATTACCAGACATTAAATTTTCTGTTTCTGTTTATGTATTAGTGAATGTGGCATTTAAAGGTCACCTGCAGCTTATAAATCCTCCCTCCCTCTTTTTGTTTTTTTTGTTTTTTTTGTTTTTAAAATCTCAATTTAATAAGTGGCAAGTGATATTTTTCCCTCCTCCCCAAACATTTCTCTCTCATAATTCCATTTTAAATGATATTGTAATCATAATAAGGATTAACTAGTATAAAGCGAGATTCCTAATGAAACTAAAATGTCAAGAAATACTCGGACAAATTCCATGCTCTCATCCATTGAACTCAGAAAATAATGGGAAAAGATCAGAAATATCAAAATTCAGTTTGAAAAACAATTTGTTATAAGTTCATTTTTAAAACCCAGTGAAAATGAATTAAAAGAGTGAAAATGATTTTATTATTATTATTTTTAAAATATATTTTATTGATTTTTTACAGAGAGGAAGAGAGAGGGATAGAGAGTTAAAACCATCTATCAACTGCCTCCTGCACACCCCCCACTAGGGATGTGCTGGCAACCAAGGTACATGCCCTTGACCAGAATGGAACCTGGGACCTTTCAGTCTGCAGGCTGATGCTCTATCCACTGAGCCAAACCGGTCTCGGCGAGTGAAAGTGATTTAAAAGGCTTGCTTCCCTGGACAACAAGATTTTACACCCTGCATGTAATAATAATAACTAACCTGAATCATGCTTACTCTGTGCAGGCACTGTCCTAGGGGCTTGACATGTATTAAATGACTTACTCCCCTAGTGTACTATTATTCCCATTCCACCGATGGGGAGAAAAGTCACACCTCAGTAACAGATGTTACTTGCACGTTGTGGAATTAGAATTGGACCTCAGGAACTGGCTTTCCAGGTCCTTACCCTGTCACTCACTACACAGCCCAGTAGGTTATTATGCGCCGGAATTCCCCCACCTTGTTTATTTTAAAAAGACAGTCCCATCTACAAACTGCTACAACAACATAATGACAAAGCAATTTTGTTTCTTGCTGAGAGGCAGGACATCCACAGTGTCCTCTTGATTATCTTTTACTGTAGGGATCTATCTGTTTATAAGGAAAAAGTCTAATTTCCGAGACAAATATTGCAGGATCTGCAAACAAAGTGTGAAAAAGGCCCCTCAGTCTAATGACAGATGGAAAAATGGGCTAGATCTCATCGAGGAAGAGAGTGCTGCTCAGAAAAGAAATTTGGTGGGAACCCAGTGTAAGCTAAGTTGGTTTCTTTCGGGTCCCTGAATAATTTAGATGGGAGAAAGTCAGATTTCACGATTGAGGGTAGATTCGGGGTTTCTAAAGTTTGGAGGGTAAGTGAAGGCCACGGAGGGCATTCTGGGTTTTGTGGGCAGCATCAGAGAAGTATCTATCTGTTGCTGAGAAGAAACAAATAAGATTGGTATTTGTGGAATGTGAGGAACCAGCTGAGTCAGCACCAGATAAGGTCGGAAGTAGGTAGGATGCTGAAGAAACTGAGGAAGGTGCTAATTTGAAACCTGCCACTTTGAGGTTTCTGTTGCCTCCCCACACTCTCCCATTTGAGAAACTCCACTGGGGAGGTGATTTGACTAATGGGGGAGAATTATGGGATCACTTGTCTTTGGATTCTGGTAGTTTATCAGCATTCCAGGCTCTAAATCCAATTAAGTTAAGTAGTTAGTGGAGAGGAGAGTGTCTTTTTAAATAGTCAAGATGGGGGCCATTGAGTAATTAGTTTAATTTATCATCAAAATTATGTGTCCCAGGTGAAGGGGTGATTAAGCCCATATCCTGCAGGGGCTCAACTCCGGCTGATTACTAGTCACCTCTAGCTTTAACGTTTCACATCCAAAACAATACAAACGCCTGAGTTCCTTTCTCCAAGATTCTCATGCTCTGGGCTTGGAGGGGAGCCTGGGTGTAGGATTTTTAAGGCACTCTAGGGCAGTGGTCCCCAAACTGCAGCTCGCGAGCCTCAGGCGGCTCTTTGGCCCCTTGAGTGTGGCTCTTCCACAAAATACCACGGCCTGGGCGAGTCTGTTTTGGAGAAGTGGCGTTAGAAGAAGTTTAAGTTTTAAAAATTTGTCTTTCAAACGAAATTTCAATCGTTGTTCTGTTCAAATTTGGCTCTGCTGACTAATGAGTTTGCCGACCACTGCTCTAGGTGATTCTAATGTCTAGAGTTGAGAACCACCAATCCACAACCACTAATCTTATTGTAGTATCACTGAACTCATTTGATTTTAAATTATTTCCGTGGCAGATACTGTACCTTAGGCATCTATAGACCAA